AAAGCACACCTTATTGATTTTAAATAGTGGTGGATTTATTGGATGGATAGATTAATGAAAGGGGTCATGGCATGAGAAATCAAATTTGCTTTGTTCTTTAGACATATACTGTACGAGGACGTTGTACCATTAAAATATCCTGCAAGTTTCAGAGCTTAAAGGAATCGTTCACTTCAAAATGAAAATTCTGTCATCGTTTACTCACCCGAAAGTGGTTTCAAACCTGTATGAGTTTCTTTCCTCTGCTGAACACAAAAGAAGGTATTTTTCAGAATGTCGGTAACCAAACAGTTGAGTATTTTTTTTCCTACTATGGAACTCAATGGCTTCCATCAACTGTTTGGTTACCGACATTCTTCAAAATACCTTCTTTTGTGTTCAGCAGAAGAAAGAGAAGTGCTTGCAGGTTTGAAACAACATAATGGTGAATACTCATTTTTGGGTGGACATGTGAACATGAATGAAGAGCATTTGAATTATTCAGAGATCTGCTGGCACTAAAGGCCAGAAACATGTAGACATGATGCTCATGTTTGAGTGAACACGTCACTAAACTCCCAGATGGTGCTCAAGGTTATCGTTATGCTGCCATTTCATTGATAATTAGAACGTCAGGAATTAATATAAGGTATCCTCGGACAGTGCCAGCATCTAATATTCTGTTGTGTGGACAAGGTGACTTTACCTATGAATTATGGAAAGTCATAAGTCTTGAAATGCACTGGGGATTAGTCCTGTTCTGCTTCTGACGGGTGTTTACTCTGGAAGGAAGAACTGCAGTGATCTTCTACATGTGATGATGATCTTCTACATGTGATGATGATCTTCTACATGTGATGATGATCTTCTACATGTGATGATGATCTTCTTCATGTGACGATGATCTTCTACATGTGATGATGATCTTCTACATGTGATGATGATCTTCTACATGTGATGATGATCTTCTACATGTGATGATGATCTTCTACATGTGATGATGATCTTCTACATGTGATGATGATCTTCTACATGTGATGATGATCTTCTACATGTGATGGTGATCTTCTACATGTGATGATGATCTTCTACATGTGATGATGTGATGATCTTCTACATGTGACGATGATCTTCTACATGTGATGATGATCTTCTACATGTGATGATGATCTTCTACATGTGATGATGATCTTCTACATGTGATGGTGATCTTCTACATGTGATGATGATCTTCTACATGTGATGATGTGATGATCTTCTACATGTGACGATGATCTTCTACATGTTACGATGATCTTCTACATGTGATGATGTGATGATCTTCTACATGTGATGATGATCTTCTACATGTGATGATGATCTTCTACATGTGACGATGATCTTCTACATGTGATGATGATCTTCTACATGTGACGATGATCTTCTACATGTGATGATGATCTTCTACATGATCTTCTACATGTGACGATGATCTTCTACATGTGATGATGATCTTCTACATGTGATGATGATCTTCTACATGTGATGATGATCTTCTACATGTGATGATGATCTTCTACATGTGACGATGATCTTCTACATGTAACGATGATCTTCTACATGTGATGATGTGATGATCTTCTACATGTGATGATGATCTTCTACATGTGATGATGATCTTCTACATGTGATGATGATCTTCTACATGTGACGATGATCTTCTACATGTGATGATGATCTTCTACATGTGATGATGATCTTCTACATGTGATGATGATCTTCTACATGTGACGATGATCTTCTACATGTGATGATGATCTTCTACATGTGACGATGATCTTCTACATGTGACGATGATCTTCTACATGTGATGATGATCTTCTACATGTGACGATGATCTTCTACATGTGATGATGATCTACATGTGATGATGATCTTCTACATGTGATGATGATCTTCTACATGTGATGGTGATCTTCTACATGTGATGATGATCTTCTACATGTGATGATGTGATGATCTTCTACATGTGATGATGATCTTCTACATGTGATGATGATCTTCTACATGTGACGATGATCTTCTACATGTGATGATGATCTTCTACATGTGATGATGATCTTCTACATGTGATGATGATCTTCTACATGTGATGATGATCTTCTACATGTGATGGTGATCTTCTACATGTGATGATGATCTTCTACATGTGATGATGATCTTCTACATGTGATGGTGATCTTCTACATGTGATGATGATCTTCTACATGTGATGATGTGATGATCTTCTACATGTGATGATGATCTTCTACATGTGATGATGATCTTCTACATGTGATGATGATCTTCTACATGTGATGGTGATCTTCTACATGTGATGATGATCTTCTACATGTGATGATGTGATGATCTTCTACATGTGATGATGATCTTCTACATGTGATTATGATCTTCTACATGTGATGATGATCTTCTACATGTGATGATGATCTTCTACATGTGATGATGATCTTCTACATGTGATGATGATCTTCTACATGTGATGATGATCTTCTACATGTGATGATGATCTTCTACATGTGATGATGATCTTCTACATGTGATGATGATCTTCTACATGTGACGATGATCTTCTACATGTAACGATGATCTTCTACATGTGATGATGATCTTCTACATGTGACGATGATCTTCTACATGTAACGATGATCTTCTACATGTGATGATGATCTTCTACATGTGACGATGATCTTCTACATGTGACGATGATCTTCTACATGTGATGATGATCTTCTACATGTGATGATGATCTTCTACATGTGACGATGATCTTCTACATGTGATGATGTGATGATCTTCTACATGTGACGATGATCTTCTACATGTGATGATGATCTTCTACATGTGATGATGATCTTCTACATGTGACGATGATCTTCTACATGTGACGATGATCTTCTACATGTGATGATGATCTTCTACATGTGATGATGATCTTCTACATGTGACGATGATCTTCTACATGTGATGATGATCTTCTACATGTGATGATGATCTTCTACATGTGATGATGATCTTCTACATGTGATGATGATCTTCTACATGTGACGATGATCTTCTACATGTGACGATGATCTTCTACATGTGATGATGATCTTCTTCATGTGACGATGATCTTCTACATGTGATGATGATCTTCTACATGTGATGATGATCTTCTACATGTGATGATGATCTTCTACATGTGATGATGATCTTCTACATGTGATGATGATCTTCTACATGTGATGATGATCTTCTACATGTGACGATGATCTTCTACATGTAACGATGATCTTCTACATGTGATGATGATCTTCCACATGTGACGATGATCTTCTACATGTAACGATGATCTTCTACATGTGATGATGATCTTCTACATGTGACGATGATCTTCTACATGTAACGATGATCTTCTACATGTGATGATGATCTTCTACATGTGATGATGATCTTCTACATGTGACGATGATCTTCTACATGTGATGATGATCTTCTACATGTGATGATGATCTTCTACATGTGATGATGATCTTCTACATGTGATGATGATCTTCTACATGTGACGATGATCTTCTACATGTGACGATGATCTTCTACATGTGATGATGATCTTCTTCATGTGACGATGATCTTCTACATGTGATGATGATCTTCTACATGTGATGATGATCTTCTACATGTGATGATGATCTTCTACATGTGATGATGATCTTCTACATGTGACGATGATCTTCTACATGTGACGATGATCTTCTACATGTGACGATGATCTTCTACATGTAATGATGATCTTCTACATGTGATGATGATCTTCTTCATGTAACGATGATCTTCTACATGTGACGATGATCTTCTTCATGTAACGATGATCTTCTACATGTGATGATGATCTTCTACATGTGATGATGATCTTCTACATGTGACGATGATCTTCTACATGTGATGATGATCTTCTTCATGTGACGATGATCTTCTACATGTGATGATGATCTTCTACATGATCTTCTACATGTGATGATGTGATGATCTTCTACATGTGATGATGTGATGATCTTCTACATGTGATGATGTGATGATCTTCTACATGTGATGATGATCTTCTACATGTGATGATGATCTTCTACATGTGATGATGATCTTCTTCATGTGACGATGATCTTCTACATGTGATGATGATCTTCTACATGTGATGATGATCTTCTACATGTGACGATGATCTTCTACATGTGATGATGATCTTCTTCATGTGACGATGATCTTCTACATGTGATGATGATCTTCTACATGTGATGATGATCTTCTACATGTGATGATGATCTTCTTCATGTAACGATGATCTTCTACATGTGACGATGATCTTCTACATGTGATGATGATCTTCTACATGTGACGATGATCTTCTACATGTGATGATGATCTTCTTCATGTGACGATGATCTTCTACATGTGATGATGATCTTCTACATGTGATGATGATCTTCTACATGTGATGATGATCTTCTACATGTGACGATGATCTTCTACATGTGATGATGATCTTCTACATGTGATGATGATCTTCTACATGTGATGATGATCTTCTACATGTAATGATGATCTTCTACATGTGATGATGATCTTCTTCATGTAACGATGATCTTCTACATGTGACGATGATCTTCTTCATGTAACGATGATCTTCTACATGTGATGATGATCTTCTACATGTGATGATGATCTTCTACATGTGATGATGATCTTCTACATGTGATGATGATCTTCTACATGTGACGATGATCTTCTACATGTGATGATGATCTTCTTCATGTGACGATGATCTTCTACATGTGATGATGATCTTCTACATGTGATGATGATCTTCTACATGTGATGATGATCTTCTACATGTGATGATGATCTTCTACATGTGATGATGATCTTCTACATGTGATGATGATCTTCTACATGTGATGATGATCTTCTACATGTGATGATGATCTTCTTCATGTCGTTCGCAGGAGCTCATTACTCGAAGGAGAGCACTCGAGGAGGCGGACACGACCTGCACAACTTCATCTCCTCCGGCTTTGTAACACTGGGCCGAAGTCACGTCAAAGGTAACGTGATTCTATTTCGCTGCTTAATGACTGAAAACATTTGTCCATAACAAACGTTTTATTTCTCAGCTGGATAGAAATTCTCAGTGAATCTGGCTTGATCTGAAATCCTGTGATCCTGTTCTTGAAGCTCTTCTGTCCGTTTAGTCTTATGCTGTAATATGCACATCTATTAGGTAATGAAAACCCGGAAGTGAAATACTCGGAGTCGCTTTGGCAGCTTGGTTTCAATAAAAGATTAACAAGGAAGTTTCAAGTTCTGAAACTTACAGTATGTTTTATAGTACAATGGCCTCTTACATGTCAATTTCTCAGTTCACGACCCTTTAATGTTTGTTAGTTTGTGTGACCGAAGGTAGTTCCCAAAGAAGCCAAAGCTTGAGTTAAACATGTACAAGAAACGAACGGAGCTACAGAGATTTCCACACACTGCTCAAAGCTTTCAGAAATCAGTCCGCTCCACTGTTCCGGGTTTTCCATCTTCATACGGCACTTCCCAGAATAGAGTTCACAACAAAGCTGTTTTATTTTCTATTCATTTTTTATGAGATGTGCAAATTTTGCAACCATGTTATCCAAATTTAGGAGATGATTAAATGCACATTTAAACCCTAAATATTTATATTTTTCTAGCATTAACTTTAATAAACATGAAAATTAAATTTCATTTGATTATTATTTCAATAGAAATTCTAAACACAGTGGATGAAGTGGATTTGATACAGTAAACAGTAAAAAGTCCCAGTGGTTAATGTCGTCTCACTCATAGGGATTAAAAATAAACTTCACTGAAAATCAAATAAGACCTATTCTCTTAAAATAGTTTTTTATTCAGACACCCTCAACATTTGTCACATTATCACAGTTTATTCGCTATAGTTTAGAAAATGGTAATGAAATATGAGCAGAACTGAATCAGATCAGTGGATATTTGACTGGTTTTGTCCGTCCTTCTGTTAGACTCTCACACATGAATTATGTTGAATATCTGTCAGCTGTTAAATTTAACTACACAATTAGATAATACCAGTTTAGCTCAACCAGTGACCAAGCAATGCTTCATGTTGTTCAGTCTGTGTGTAAAAAGAGCATTAGCAATTACAGAAAACACACTTCAGCAGAACATGATCAGCTCAAAGTGGAGGAATCATTTCTGCTCCCAAATTTGTATAAATGTTACTGGTAGTCACTGTATGAAGAGTGTTTGGGTATAATATGTCACAGTTTACTTTATTCTGCTCTCCTCACTTACATAAATGAACTATAGTGTCCTGCACACACTAGTAAAGAAATATCAAAAATGATATCTGGTGTCTGAATAATTTTTGGTTGGACTGCATGTTATTTTGAAGATTTCTACTGAAAAGAAAGCTTTTGAACATGTTTGAAGGGTGTGTGTATCATCGTCGTCTCCACATCTGCAGTCTAACACGAGTAATGTGAATGTTGTGTAAGAATGTGGAAGGTTTGCAGCCGCTGCCTGATTTCTAACACGTACATGAAAACATCAAGCTTCATCTAATAGCCTTCGGTAAGGTGCCGTTCTTCATCCCACTCGCGTACAAGCCTTCCACATGTGTCAGCTCTCACTGGTTATGCAGCAATTAATATTCATGCGCTCTCTGCTGACTCAGACTGGCAACAATGAATCTACTCTCTGTGCAAAAGAATCGCTCATGAAAACCTGACAATATTAATGGCATTTCTGTAAGTCCTTTAAAGGGCAAGGAAACGCGGTGAGGAGTGACGTGCATCGGTGTGAGTGTTATAGCCGTCATGAGTGTGTCGTGGCTCATAACACACAACAGCTCTTAACCAGCGTAGAACAGGGGAACTCGTAGTGATCGTACCGAAATAACCATGAGAGGACAAGACAATCTCCATTAGGACTGCAATTCCATTTCCTCCAGAACAAAGCATTGACCTAAAATCCATTTATTTCCCCGTCTGTCTGCCTGCAACCTGCCGGAGACGGTTTTTTTTTTGGGTTATGTGTCTTTAGTGCCCTTTTCACAATGGCCTATTCAGCATCTGGTGGTGGTGGTGGTGGAAGGGACGGCTATTTTTGTCGTCATGAAACATGAGAGAAAGGATCTGGACGCTGCAGGGTGAATGAAAGCTTTCCAGACTGATGCGTTTCAACATGACAAAAACACCCTTCATTTCTCCGACGGCTGTGCAATATCTACAGCCCGGATTGCAATGCTCTGTAATTGGCATTTTGTTTTCACCCTGGACAAGTTAATCTTGCTTTATCTCATTTACAGGGACCTTATTTACTTTTCCTGGGGATTTTCATGACAAATGTTTAATGCATATATCTTCTAAAAGTTCATTATTTTAGACGTGCACTTGCATATAGACGGCTTTAAAGATAATGCATGGACTATGTAACATAAGCTCTAACTATAAAGGTAAAACTGTTTTGATATGAGACTGCTGACGTTGAAATGTTTCTGCAGTTTCTACATTGACAACAATCACAGTATTATTGACTGAAGTCAGTGTGTTTAACTTGACTCGGAGGAAGATGAGGCTGTGCTCTCCTAAGACCGGTTTGGAAAGACATATTTCCAGTGTTCATCGATTTAACAATCAGAGCGGCTTGAGCGTCTCACAGCCTCGGTTTAGCCATATTAAATACAGTCAAACCAAAAATTATTCAGACACCATATATTATTATTATTTATTTTTTTACTAGTGTGTGCAGGACACTATAGTTCATTTATGTAAGTGAGGAGAGCAGAATAAAGTAAACTGTGACATATTATACCCAAACACTCTTCAGTGAAATACCTGTAAAATGTATAAAATTTGGGACCAAAAATTATTCCAACACTTTGACCTGACCATGTTTTGCTGAAGTGTTTTTTCTTTAATTGCTAATGCACCTCTTTGGTATTATCTAATTGTGCAGTTATATTTAACAGCTGACAGATATTCACCATAATTCATGTGTGAGAGTCTAAACCAGTCAAATATCAAGTTCTGTTTTGTCATATTTATCACCATTTTCTAAACTATAGCGAAAAAACTGTGATAATGTGAGAAATGTTGAAGGAGTCTGAATACATTTAGGTTTGACTGTAAGTCCATTGACGACAGTGGTAAATGGACTGCATTTATATAGCGCTTTCACAGACCCAATGGCCACCAAAGCACTTTACATATTGCCTCACATTCACTCATTCACACACTCACTCACACACACACCGACGGCGGTGTCAGACATGCAAGGCCATCCAGCTCGTCGGGAGCAGTGGGGGTTAGGGGTCTATCACACACACACACACACACACACACACACACACACACTGAGCCACTGCCGCCCCAGTGACAATTGTCAATTTCTGACAATGATCACGTTTGATTCATTCCAGTGAAACCAATGTTTTCGAACACATCTCTCTTCCTGATAGTGATGCACTGAGAGTGTGTGTGTCTCTGACTCTCTCAGTGTGTGTGTGTCGGATGGCCGTTCTCTGGCTCTCTCTCAGTGTGTGTGTGTCGGATGGCCGTTCTCTGACTCTCTCAGTGTGTGTGTGTCGGATGGCCGTTCTCTGGCTCTCTCTCAGTGTGTGTGTGTCGGATGGCCGTTCTCTGGCTCTCTCTCAGTGTGTGTGTGTGTCGGATGGCCGTTCTCTGGCTCTCTCTCAGTGTGTGTGTGTCGGATGGCCGTTCTCTGGCTCTCTCTCAGTGTGTGTGTGTCGGATGGCCGTTCTCTGGCTCTCTCTCAGTGTGTGTGTGTGTCGGATGGCTGTTCTCTGGCTCTCTCTCAGTGTGTGTGTGTGTCGGATGGCTGTTCTCTGGCTCTCTCTCAGTGTGTGTGTGTGTCGGATGGCCGTTCTCTGGCTCTCTCTCAGTGTGTGTGTGTCGGATGGCCGTTCTCTGGCTCTCTCTCAGTGTGTGTGTGTGTCGGATGGCCGTTCTCTGGCTCTCTCTCAGTGTGTGTGTGTCGGATGGCCGTTCTCTGGCTCTCTCTCAGTGTGTGTGTGTCGGATGGCCGTTCTCTGGCTCTCTCTCAGTGTGTGTGTGTCGGATGGCCGTTCTCTGGCTCTCTCTCAGTGTGTGTGTGTGTCGGATGGCTGTTCTCTGGCTCTCTCTCAGTGTGTGTGTGTGTCGGATGGCTGTTCTCTTGCTCTCTCTCAGTGTGTGTGTGTCGGATGGCCGTTCTCTGGCTCTCTCTCAGTGTGTGTGTGTCGGATGGCCGTTCTCTGGCTCTCTCTCAGTGTGTGTGTGTCGGATGGCTGTTCTCTCCGTAACTAAAGCCGACATGTCGTGGAATGTTTTCCTGCTTGATAAATTGCTGTGTTTCTGTGGGTCCTGTCGTCTGATTGTTGCCATGCCACTGCTCTCCTCATCCTCACCTCTTCTGCCTTGTGCTCCAGAATAGCCCAGAGATTCACCATGGTGATTAGAAGGGTCGTCGAGGAGGCAAACTCTCGCTGTGCTGAAGCTTGTGCGCGGGCAGACGTCGAGTGCTCATGATCATGTGAATGGTGTGTTGCTCTCTGACGGCCATGGTGAACACGCTTCACATGCGGCTGATCAAGAAAACAAACTCCTCGGCCAAAAGTTCAGTCATGCATGTTTGCGTCATCACGTCATGAACCTTATTTATTAAAACTCTTAATGCCTTTAGTTCTTATTCTTAATTAATAACTTTTTTACAACAGAATTGCACCACCACTGAACTCACTGAAGCTGGACGGAGACGCTCTTCTCTTCTGGAAACTGTGTTGCATTATTCTCCTGTTATCTCTGTAAAGCTGCTCTGAAACACTGTGCCGTAAAGCGCTGTAGAAATAAAGCTGACTCGACTTGACAATCAAAGCAGAACTAATAATTATTCATATCCGTATGTATCCCAAAGTCACCGTTCATTCACACGGCTCGTTTCTGGACAGGGACAGATATGATGGGTTTTCAAGGCTCTGACCTTTGGTTCTGCTCGGCTTGAATATAGAGCAGTTCCCCGAAGACATGGAGACAGTTCTTTC